AAGAAACCCACAGACCAACATACATATCTGCACAGAACCAGCAATCACCCGAAACACACCAAAAAAGCAGTGATATACAGCCAAGCCCTCAGATACCACCGCATCTGTACTGAAGAGAACACCCGGGATCGCCACCTCATCAATCTTAAAAAGGCTTTCACCCAGCAAGGACACTCCTCCAGAGAGGTAGATCGCATGTTTGAAAGAGCCACCTGGATACCACGTGAAGCACTGCTGCAGTACAGAAGAAAAACACGCACAAATCGTACACCGCTGGTTATGACCTATCACCCATCCCTTGAACCTGTACGGAAAATCCTCAAAAAATTGCAACCCATATTAGAAAGAGACCCTATTCTTAAAAAGATCTTCCCAGAGCCACCCATCCTAGCCTTCAGACAAGCACCGAACCTTGCCAACCTCATCACCAGAAGCAAACTTCCTCAAGCCCAGAACACACCAAAAGGATCCAGACCGTGCCAGGACAAGAAATGCAAAACCTGCCAACACATCTCCACCACCCCCACAATTACTACACCCCACAACAGAGCCATCAGCATCCCAGGATCTTACAGCTGCACCTCCAGGAATGTAGTATACCTCATCCAATGCACCAAATGCCCTGATGGAAGATATGTAGGAGAGACCAGACAACAACTGCGCACCAGAATGAACGCACACCGGAAATCTATCAAAGACAGAAATACCCAATTACCGGTGGGGGCACATTTCTCACAGGAGGGCCACACACTCTCCAATCTCTCAGTCCTGATCCTCAAGGGAAACTTACACAACACAGCCCAGAGACGAGCCTATGAGCTCCATTTCATCAACCTGCTGGATACTAGAGATCAGGGACTAAACATAGACATTGGATGTTTGATACATTATAATCTGCCTGGCAACTGACTCCCCAGCCCAGCCCCTGGCTTCTTTACTTTTCATTCCATCCAGGAAGAGCGCACACCACCTGCTGAAGCTTCCTTAGCCTGACGAAGGGTTTTTGAACCCGAAAGCTTGCTTAATAACTATTCTCCAACCATTTGGGTTGGTCTAATAAAAGATATCAAATTCACCCAAGGAACCTTGTCTGCCTATGTCCTTAGACCAACACGGCTACAACCCAAACCCCTAGTACAGTGTATAACACTCAAGAATCACAAATTAAGTAGAAATAAATATTTTCTAAAACAAGCAAATAAAATTAATACTAGTCAATGCTCAACAGTCCAATATAGCTCATAATTCTTTTCCTCCTTTTATTCATTAAAATTTTGGCTAATGAATTCTGACCCACCAACTACAGTTTCTGTGAGACAACTAATAATCCTTATTTAACAATCCAATTACTTCCCCTGTTAAGACTTTATTACAACATCTTAAATCTCTCAGTTAATTTTGTGGGAGAGAAGGCACAAAGCAATTTCTGCTCAGCTGATGTTTTACGAAAATTTTGTAAGCACCATCATGTATTTAAAATAGTTGAAGAGAAGGCCCTTCAGGAAAAGTAAATGAAACAGGAATAAAATAAGGCAGCTTCATGTTAATGCAATCAGATGCCATTAAATATCAAAAAAATAACTAATAGTCAAACTTCAATTTGGTTTATTTCAGAAGGGTATAAAAAAAATCTAGCATCCTTGTTACTGACTTCACTCAAACCAACTGAATCTCAAACTAGGTGTTGTTTATTTGGAAACTATCCTTTCCATACTAGAGACTCATGCCAGCCAACCCAATCATACCAGACAATCTATTTACTGTGGCACAATCAATGGCCCATGTACTTTCACATGGGCATAATGCAAAATTAGCTCCTTGGAGTAAGACTTTTAAGTTAGGAGAAAAGGACTGGAAGGAGCCCCCTGGGCTACTAATTTCAGTCCCTCTGGATAGTTATTTATCCAAGGAATCCCCCAAATCAGCACTTCAAACCCTCATTCACAACTACAAGGCACAGTACCTGAAGAACCAAAAACACCATAGCTAGGACCCTGAGAAAATCGTGATTTTGCAGACTGTGCGGGAACCATGAAATTCACCCTACGCCGCAATTTTTAAGGGTTGCGAGCATAGGCAGTGGAAGGCCAGGGCTAACAGGGTTTAGCCCCCTCAAATACGGGGCAGGGCTGAGGGCCACAGGGCAGCCTGGGCATGGGCTCTGGGAAGCTGCAGCAGGGGGGAGTGGCATACATAGACAGACATGGAGCCTGTACACAGCCAGGATTGCCGCAGGATGGTATGTGGAGCACTGCCCACCACAACAGGCAAGTCAGAGAAGGGAAAAGGGAAGGGGAAGGGATGTGGTGAGGGGAGACTGAGGCCCCCAAAGTGAGGGAGCGAGTGGGGAAGGGGCAGAGGCTAGAATGAGTGGGGCCCTGGGGTGGGTGGTGGGATGCTTGGAGCCTGGGCGGCTCATCCAAGGGCGTGGGGGGCTCCCAGCACTGCACACACCCTGGAAGAGGCCTGGGGGGCATGTGCCCCCCACATTTGTGCACGGGGTGGAAGCAGGCTGCCTGCTGGGCTCTGCACCCTGCTGCTGCTGCCCTGGGAGATGGCTCTGGGAGCTGATGGCAGCAGGCACATGGCATTGCGTGCTGCAGTGATCTTAAGGGATAAGTAAGGAGCTTCCAGGTTTTCTAAGTACCAGCAGGAGCTTTAGTACACCCCAGTCAAAGACATCTAGCTTTACTTACGGCCAACATCTAGTGCTTCAGATGTAAAGAGGTAAATCACCTGAATTCTTGTGATAAAAGTCATTTTTCAAGAGTCACAAGCCATCTTTCTCCCAGTTTTCTTGAAAAAAGGTAGTCAAACAGAAGTCTACAGAACAAACGTAGCCCACAGCCAGCATTACACTTTTCAAAGGCTGTACTTCCCATCATATGACAGTCCATTTTGATTTACAGTGGAGGCCTTTCAGGTGACAAGACTAAAGAGAAAACAGAGGGCAGATCTACAGTATTCACAAACCACAGCCCCCTATTAAAGAGGGCAGATTAAACTGTTTGCATTTTATGACAACTAGGTTTGGACATTAAGGCTATCTACAGCCTTTTTTCCCCAAATGAAACTTTTATTTTGGAAGCAAAGTGGATGTCCACGATATAAAATTTTCCTACTGGAGTGCTCTGCTCCTGACCCGACCACCAACCCCCAACAAAATGGCAGAAGAAAATACCATAAACAGATCTGAGGGTTACCATACGTCCAGGTTTTCCAGGACATGTCCTCTTTTTTGGCCCCCTGTCCTCCTGTCCGGGCAGGTTTTTAAAATGCAAGCAGATGTCTAGGTTTTTGCTCTGCCTCTGGCTTTTCCCCTTCTGCCAGCTTGGCTGCTTGGGGCAGCGGGGAAGGTGATTAGCTGTCGGGGGATCGCACATGGGCCCCGACAGCTGCTTGCAAGTAAAAGAAAGAGAGAGACAGAGAGAGAGCGTGCGCGCATGAACTGCATGTGCAGCAGGGCTGGGGGGAGCAGGGAGCTGCAGGTTGCGAGGAAGGGCCACCAGCAGGGCTGGGGGTACAGTCGGTCAGGAGTGAGAGGCAGCAGCAGGGCTGGGGGGGGGCTGTGGCTTAGAAGTGAGGGACAGACAGGGCATGTCACTGCCCCCCTCAACAATCATATACCCCTTCCCCTTGTCACAACCCAGTTAATCAGTGCCCATGCCACTAGCAAGACCATCCTCATTTCGCACACTATAGTCAACCAAGGGTTAAAAAGAAAGAAGTCCTTGCCAGAGACTTAAATTTATACCCACGTCACATCCAAGAAACGAAACTTAAGCATAATTTATGATTGGTTAGAGTAAAAGGGGATAGCCCTGCCATAAATTCCTGCAATTGGTCAAGAAACAAGCGTAAGCCCCTCTCACGTAACGGACAGAAAGCTTGACCCACTACCTTGTAACCTGATAGTAACCTGAGAGCACAAAGAACTGCTGCTTGCCAGATAATTAAAGATTCCACATAGCAGTTCATCATTGGACACCTTCGTTAGACACCTCTGTCTATAAATAGTTTAGCAAATTCCGCCCAAGTCGGAGAAACTCTAGGAGAACTCTGGAGAATTCAAAGAGGAGACACCTAGACACCTAAGCTCATCACTAGAGTGACTGACGGTTTGATCACCCGTCAATACTCCCCGTCAGCGCTAATTTTGACGTAGTAAAAGCCCTGCAGGCTCGATAGCACGCTTTCAGTGCTCCGTCCGTCATGAATTGATTGTGTAACCTGAACCCGCGTGCTCAACTATATAACTGAAGCAACTGTAACGGGACCAAGGCTCAGCCTGCGTTGTACGTCACTATCTGGGCGACGTAAGTAAACAATCTCCTGTAACCAACACGCATCTGTGTCTGGTTAATTTCACTCATCCATCACCTACCCGCCTGTCAGGTGAAAGTTTTATTACCCCGGCTCCGGGATTCAGAAAGCAGCAGCAGCCGGCTGCTCTAATCCCGACACCCCTCTCCCCTGCCCCACCTCCGCCACCCCAGGTGTCCTCTTTTTTGATACTGGAAATATGGTAACCCTATCTGATTTAAAGTGAAGTAGCCACAAACAGATCTGCTTTAAAATGAACTTATTCCACTGCTACTGAAATCCACTACCGTACAATCTTGCCATTCAGATAATTGATTCTACAACAGAGCACTTTGGAATTTATCAAACACAAAATATTCTAAAGAAACATTACAACTCCAGTTTACAATTCTCTGCTACAAGGCCACCAACAGCCTGACTACTAACTGACTGAAAGAAACACCTCCTCCGCCTTCCACAGAACACATCATCTTGGTAATTACCAGGATACCACAGACAGCTTGATAAAGACTGCAAACTACTGTGCTTACCTTCTGACATAGTTATGTATCCTTTTGTCTGTCATAAAAGGACAATAGCTTCTACTGCACATGTCTAATTCAGCTGGGTGGTAAGGGAATACTACCCACTCGTTTGCACAGGAAACCACAGAAGTTAAAATAAAATAAGGCTCTTACTTTTGAAGGCTGTTGAATTTTAATCTCCTGGGAGTCAGAAGCAGAATCTGATTTGGTGCCGCCGGAGTTTGGTTTCTCCTTTTTTCTTTTCTGTTTCTTTTTCTTCTTCTTAGCTCCCAAATCCCCTCCAGGACTTCTGTCAAGAAAAATTCAGAAGAGGTGAAATGATTAAAACCAATACCACAAAGCCTGAAATACATGAAAGTTAAATTTAGAAAAACACCATCCCTACGTATGAAAAACTAACAGCAGTTAACCGTGTAAGGGGAAAGAGAAGGGAAGAGAAAGCAATATCTTATAGAAAGGTTATCTGTGTTAGCTCACACTTGTTCCAGACATCCAGTACCCCAGTTTATAGGGTATTTGGGCACTCTTAAATAGTCAATTCCATTCTAAAGGCTTTTTTTATTTAGCAAAAACATGAAACGACTATTTCAACATACCGGTGCACAGCAGAAGTTTCAATGTCCTGTTGACCGTTTAATTAGCAGGAACATTCCACAGAAAGACATAAGGGACTTTAGTAAGGAAGAAAATGTGACCATAATGCACAAAAGTGAAAACTTGTCTTACGTCCGTAAAAGTGATTATTTAATTTTCAGAATGTAGTTCTGAGCCAAAGCTAAATACTATCACCCCTTAATCATAAAGGCCAGTTGACAGTTCTGATACTTCCAGCTAAGAATAATGGCTGGAATTTTCTAATGTTCCTAAGGGAATTAAAAGCACAGGTTCTTCTGAAAGTCAGTGGGACTTGTCTTACTAAATGGCAGAGGTGCTTTTGAAAGTCTTCCATATGTCCTCAGAAGCTCCTGAAACCTACCAATAGCCAAGCAGGTACTTCCACTCAGGCTCACTTTTCAAGGACAACAGGACCAGGGAAAAATCCAACCAGAAAACATTCTACATAATTTTTTTAGGGATCTTTGTTTCCAACTTGAATAATGATAGACAGACAGATTTAGATATTTATTGTTCAGATCTCACCAAGGACTGATGGGCAAAGTATCCAAATAGTCAGTTATTAAACAAGTGCTACAACTGGATGAGATTTAAAGGAAAAACCATACAAAGCTCCCTATCTGCATCCTGTTCTTGCAGAATTCAACACATTTTGGCTGATATCAGTATGAGCCCTTTTCTCTTTAAAGGGGACAATCAATTAACAAATAATCAAATGCTACAGTAGGACCCTGCAGACACAATGTATCACAGCAAATCACTGGATGGCAGCCGCAGTCTTAACAATTTTTGAAAGAGTTAACAGCAGCAAAAAAACAAGTGCATACGATTGGTCCTACAACCGATACAAGAAACTTTTGCCCAATTCAAAGAAAACAAGAAAAACTTCTTTATTTAAGTCATAGCAAGAAACAGCTTTGATTGTGTGTGACATTGGCAAGCACATAAGAGAGATTACTTGTTTTTTTCTGTCAAACTCTAGTCATGGGAACAAGTGGATTAACATATTGGGTTGCAACCATCATGCATCCTTACGAAAAGTACATCTGTAAAATCCATGCTTTCCTAGGGACCACTCTGACTGCAAAGGTTAGAGTGCCCAGTATTGACAACCCTCTCACTTGTCAATGCTTAAAAAAAAAAAAAAAAAAAAAAAAAAAAAATCACTAGAGCCTAAGAAAACTCTCAAACGCCCATGTTACAAGCTGAAAGCCTGCTTTTAGACAAGTTGCAACCACCCACTGTAAACACTCATTTGTATAGTAATGTCATTGTTTTCTAATTGGCCCCTGAATGAAAGACCAATCCTGAGAAGTGCATCAGCACTTCAAATTAAATTGCAAGAGGAGAATAAGGGACTTCAGGGCAGTGCTCAGCAGCTTTAGGGACTGGGTCCCAATAGCTCTCTCACAGGTTAGAGAACCCAAGCAAAGGAGGGGGGGCGGGCAGTGCAGTTTACATAGTTGGATTTTTTTTTTCTTGGATCTCTGCAAAAGCAAGCATTTGAGCCCAAATTGACTACACAGAATTTTCAGTTCTTAAAGGGTTCTTATGCTTGACAGCAGTTTATACAATTCTTCTTACAACAGTATCTAGATTCGGGCTGTGCAACTTCAGCACGGCTGGGGGCTGCATGCCATGCAGGTGGCACACAGTGGAGGGCGGACCCCTAGGATGGGATCCTGCCCCTTGCTGTGCTAGGGGCATGCATTTCCCCCACCTTCTGGGCAGCATCACAGCAACATACAACCCCTCACCTCCCTGGGCAGTGCCAGCAATGCACAGACCCACACTCCCTGCTATTCAGGCAACAGAAAGAGACAACTGTCAGGGTGGCCCATGGACCGCCAGCTTGACCAGCCTGACCTAGATTATCTGAAGATATAGAGAATCCTACTTCAATTATTTAGTTGACCTGCATGCTAAATTGCTAGACTATGTACACTTTGACTAAAACAGTCCCAAAGTTCTGCACTGAGGTTACAGCTATGAGCCAGCTGGAACATGGGCAAGCAGAATTAGCTTTTCCAGAATTTCACAATGTCTGGAAAAAGTTAAAATGTTGGGTATCTCACACCAAACAAAATTCAGAGCTAATTTTCTATATTATTTACGCTAAGGAAGATATTTAACTAAATACTGCTGCAAAGATTGAAACACAAAAAGGAAGCTTATAAGAAGCGGAAACTTGGACAAATAACTAGGGGAGAATATAAGAGCATTGCTCAGGCATGCAGGGATTAAGTCAGGAAGGCCAAAGTGCAGTTGGAGTTGCAGCTAGCAAGGGATGTGAAGGGTAACAAGAAGGGTTTCTACAAGTATGTCAGTAGCAAGAGGAGGATCAGGGAAAGTGTGGGTCCCTTACTGAATGGGGGAGGCAACCTTGTGACAGAGAATGCAGAAAAGGCTGAAGTGCTCAATGCCTTTTCTGCCTCACTCTTCACAGGCAAGGTCAGCTCCCAGACTACTGCACTAGGCAGAACAGTTTGGGGAGGAGGTGAGCAACCCTCAGTGGTGAAAGAAAAGGTTAGGGACTACTTAGAAAAGCTGGATGGGTACAAGTCCATGGGGCTAGACAGGATGCACCCAAGGGTGCTGAGGGAGTTGGCTGATGTGATTGCAGAGCCATTGGACCATCATCTTTGAAAGTTTGTGGTGATCAGGAGAGGTCCTGGATCATTGGAAAAGGGCAAACATCATGCTCATAATTGAGAAAGGGAAAAAGGAGGATCCAGGGAACTACTGACCAGTCAGCCTCACCTCAGTTCCTGGAAAAACCATGGACCAGATCCTCAAGGAATCCATTTCTAAGCACTTGGGGAGAAAAAGGTGATCGGGGCAATCAGCATGGAATCACCAAGGGCAAGTCATGCTGGACCAACTTGATTGCTTTCTATGATGAGATGACTGGCTCTGTGGATGTGAGTAGACCAGTGGATGTGGTGTGCCTTGATTTTAACAAGGTTTTTGATACAGTCTCCCACAATATTCTTGCAGGCAACCTAAGGAAGTATGGGTTGGATGAATGGACTGTATGGTGGATAGAAAACTGGCTGGAGTATTGGGCTCAGAGAGTAGTAATCAAAGCCTCGATGTCTAGTTGGCAGCCAATATCAAGTGGAGCACACCAAGGGTCGGTCCTGGGGCTGGTTTTATTCAATGTCTTCATCAACCAACTGGAAGATAGCACAGAGTTCACCCTCAGCGAGTCTGCAGATAACACCAAGCTGGGGGGAGCAGTAGATATGCTGGAGGGTAGGGCTAGGGTTCAGAGTGATCTAGACAAATTGGAGGATTGGGCCAAAAGAAACGTCACAAGGTTCAACAAGGACAAGTGCAAAGTCCTTAGCACAGAACAATCCCATTCACTGGTACAGGCTGGAGGCTGAATGGCTGGGCAGCAGCTCCGCAGAAAATGACCTGGGGGTTATAGTGGACAATAAGTTGAATATGAGCCAGCAGTGCGCCCTAGTTGCCAAGAAGGCTAACAGGATACTGGGCTGCGTTGGTAGGTGTGTTGGCAGTAGGTCAAGGGAAGTGATTATTAGGGGTGTGCGAGATGGGCCGTATTCGATTTGGATTTGAATTTGGCCTGAATCGGGGACAGTGAATAGATTCCTTGATTCAGATCACTGTCCCCAATTCAATTCGGCCGAATCCGAATCTAAAGATTCGGTGCCGATTCAGAGAATCAGCGATTCATAGATTCTAGGGTCGGAAGGGACCTCAATAGATCATCGAGTCCGACCCCCTGCGTAGGCAGGAAAGA